ATTTATCAGCATAAATATAACAAATGTGATGTTTGGTGGTGATATCCTGTGTGGCTTTTGTGAGAGTGGGCCTGGTTTCATTCATCATGTTAGGGACTCATTTATCAATAAGGGCAGGCTTCCAAATGGCTGGCAGGCGGGAGGGATCGTCCCGCCTGTTCATGCTGTGTGGGCGTTTTTCTATCTTATGTAATGTATATAAACATAAAGTTATGTTCTGGGAACCTGAAATAATATCATCGAATGTCTCATTGATGTTTATTGACAGTGAATGTAGGCTTCACAGTAAAGGAATTGTCATTCTTACTTTCCTCTCTTCTACTTTTCATTAGGCTGTAAAGAGACAGAGGAAGCAGATATTTATTTCTTGATTGATGGTTCTGGCAGTATCCAGACAGAAGAGTTCCTTGACATGAAAAACTTTATGAAAGAAGTGATTAGCATGTTCCAGATTGGTCCCAATCAAATTCGTTTTGGGGTGGTTCAGTATGCAAGTGATCCCCAAAAAGAGTTTCTGATTAATGAGTACAATACATTGGCCCAATTAAAAGATGCAATAAAAGTGATCTGGCAGATTGGTGGTGGCACTAAAACTGGAGATGCTTTACGTTATATGAAGAATTTGTTTAAAACTTCAGCGAGGGACAATGTCCCCCAGTTTCTCATTGTTATTACAGATGGTAAATCCCAGGATCAAGTAACCATACCTGCAGAAGAGCTGCGGAGTGCAGGGATTATTATATATTCCATAGGTGTCAAAGATGCGGTAAAAAAAGAACTAAAAGATATAGCAGGGACCAAGGACAGGATGTTTTTTGTGAATGATTTTGATTCCCTGAAGCTTATCAAACATGATATTGCACGGGATATTTGTTCTCTTGAAGGTAAGGTCTTTTTTTCAATGAAAGATTATCTAGGTTTTATCATAATAAATCTTCTGAAGGCCTCTTACGTGGAAACAAATTCCTTTTAACTACACTATGCATTTTCTTACACTGATTGTATTTGTTTTCAAAGTATCACCTGCAAATAATTCATCTTTGTTGGGTTAAAAGGATTGATTATACTCCCTTTCTTAATCTCTACCTTTTGGAGGTGATTATTAAGGGGCGAAATATCTTCTGGGAATGCCATATGGCTGATACTTATTTCAACTACAAAAGCTTTCATGTGAGGTTCACTTTGTACTGTTTTTTCTGTTACAAATATAGCGTAGCTAAAACCTTTTAAAGAAAAGTCATGAGAGTAAATTCAAGAGAGAGCAGAATTTAGTTTTAATTCTGTTTAAAGGAGAATTTGACAAAAAGTATAATGAGCAAGAAAATAAAATAATGAAATAATGCATAGTTGCTACCCTTGATACCACATACTGGTTAATAGATTTTAAGCCTTAAATTGTACGATATGTTAATTCCACATCAAAACAGAATAATGATCTCACCTCATTAAATTACAGCTGGAGGGAGTGTGTAATAGATGTTTCATTCTCTCCCTCCTGTGACCGCTTTCTTTTTTAAAAATAATTGTTTTAAAGAAAGTTTCTGCTCTTCCTACAAGATCTGCAAGCACAGATAACTAAGGGAACCATCTTCAAAGTATTTGAAGTATTTCCATTAAACAGGCCATTCAAACTCCTAGATAGGCTTCCAAGTAGAGCTTCCAAATAAGTCAACATACCTTGGTGACCTCTGTCTGGATTGTTTAATTAGCATATTAGTCCAATAAAAGATGTTATTTCACTATATAATTCTTAAGGGTTTACACTGTAAATGTGAAGAACCTGGATTCTACAGGTATTTTAATTTAGAAAATACAACATGAATATTGTAATAGAAAACATAGCTATTGTTCATTCTTTGTCTCTAGCACATCTTCATTATATGATTAGGTATTATAGTAATTGCAATATAGTTAACTGTGCAAAACCCAACAAAATTTCTTAACACTCCCAAGTAATTAATTTTGCATTATTTTAGGAAGCTGAGAAAAGCCCATTATTGTTTAAAAAATGGAAATTTAGTTGCAAAGATGAAATGCAGCCTAGGTTCTAGAAAATCTCTAAGAAATTTGGTAAGAATGACCTCTGAGTAGACATTGTGTACAGTCAAAAACATTAGGTAGTGAATGCCAACTCTTCTTGATTTGAATCATAAAAATGTCCTGTTACTGGGCCTGTTACATTTTGCACATTTATTTAATATCTCTTTTTATTTATTATTTTCAGCCTGTAAAAATTTGAAAGTGGACATAATTTTACTAATTGATACATCAGAAAGTATGGATCAATTTGAATTTGAACAGATTAAGGATTTTGCTGATTTAATTGTAAACAAGTCAGATATTGGGGCTGATAAGGTTCAGATTGGCCTGCTCCAATTTGGCTTCAATCCAGAAGAGGTTTTCCCACTGAACAAGTACAACAACAAGGCTGACATGAGGAAAGCAATAACTACAATGAGGCAGGTTCAAGAAGGAGCCAGAATTGGAAGAGCTCTAGATTTTGCATCCTCTTACTTTGACACATCTGAGGGAGGGCGTTTGAATGTAAAACAATATTTGATAGTGGTGACAGATGAGAAATCTAGTGATGATGTGAGAAGAGCAGCCAGAGCACTCAGGAAGAAAGGTGTTGTCATCTATGCCATTGGAATACTGAAAGCAAACAACTCTGAGCTTTTAGACATTGCTGGCACTCAGGATAAAGTATTTTCAGAGGATTATTTTGAATCCCTCATGTTCCTGGTGAAGCCAATTCTATTTCAGATTTGCAACCCTGAGAAGAGTAAGTATTGAAGCGAAAAATGTTATTTATTCAGAAAATTATTTTGCACTCTCCATATTTTCTGCTATAACCCTGAACCAGATATTGTCAAGGTCAGAGTTAATTATTGTAATGATATGTGGGAAGAAAGGAGTGAGAGCCACAGACTGGGCAATTGAACAGCATGTAAAAGATATCTCAGCCGACAGAACAATGGTGGGATTCAAATAATTTAACAACCGGTTCTCTGTCCTAATGACCAGATGGATAGGTGAGGCTTAGTGGTCATGTGACTGTGTGGGCGTGACCAACTGAACATTACTCAGGTCGATGGGCACTTTGCCTTAGCTGTTACAATGTAATAAGGGTTAACTGAAGAGGCAGTTTCTGTAAGCAGGGCAATAAAGATTAAGCTAGAAATAACACCAGAATGTTTCCTTCCTCCCTTTCTCACACGATTAGCACTGTAAAGCGGAAAAAAACCAAAAGAAGATTTATTCCAACAACCAGTTCTCTGAACCTCTTAGAAAGTTAAGAACCGGTTCTCCCGAATAGGTGTGAACTGGCTGAATCCCACCACTGCAACAGAAGGAGGGAGAGTGTGGGAAATATTTCAGAAAAGATCTTAGCTCTTCCAAAAGAAAAAGAAAAGGGGATAAATATTTTAAATCTTGCAAGATTACTTATTTATTTATTAATGAAATGTATTCACTAAAGTATAAGTAACAGTAGGCATTTGCATAAAAACATAAAATCTATAAAAAATAGACAAATTTAGAAAACAAATTGAGAAGTTAAAAAGATGGAGGGGTCACCCTTAAGCTAAGGTGACCAGATTTTCAGATTGGAAAAGAGGGACACCCTTGACCGGGGGGGGGGGG